CTCCACAAAGATCAGTGTACAAACCTCTAAGCCAAATAGCTTTTTTACAACCTTCAGAAATAGCCATATACTCTACTTCAGTAGTAGATAAGACAACAGTTGCTTGCAAACTTGCCTTCCAAATAACAGCATATCCTCCAATAGTGAAAACATAACCTGTGAGCGATCTTCTCCTATCCAAATCTCCAGCAAAATCTGAATCCACATAACCAACAAGTCCATCTCTAGATCTCCCAAACTGTAAACAAGCACTAGATATACCACATAGGTATCTGAAAATCCATTGAACAGCTTTCCAATGCTTTTTACCAGGATTAGCCATGTATCTACTGACAACACTCAATGCATGTGATAATTCAGGACGAGAATATACCATGGCATACATAAGTGAACCAACTGCACTTGAATATGGAACTCTAGACATGTACTCAATATCATAATCTGACTGTGGACATAAATCTGAAAATAATCTGAAATGTGCAGCTAAAGGAGTACTCACTGGTTTTGCATCATGCATATTGAAACGATGAAGAACTTTTTCAATATAACCTTTCTGACTAAGATATAACTTGCCAGAATGTCTTTCTCTAGTAATTTCCATACCGAGAATTTTCTTCGCTGCACCCAAATCCTTCATCTCAAATTCACTACTCAATTGTGCCTTCAACTTTGCTATTTCTGATTTGTCTTTTGCAGCTATCAACATATCATCAATATAAAGAAGCAAATATATAGCTGAACCATCAACAACTTTGAGATAAACACAGCTATCATAATTGGATCTTCTGAACTTCTGAGAAAGCATTATATATGAAATAATAATAATAATAATAATAATAATAATAACATCCAGTTAAGGGATAAGTGTATGATTTTTACGTAAATAAAATATTATACATGGAAAAACCAAGGTGCAAATTAGTTAGCGCGCCAACTGGCGCGCGGATTTTCTAGTTCATCCTATAGCTCGGCAATATAATTTGTCATCAAATAATAAAGTATATCTCAAAACTTGTCGTCGAGCTTCTCTATTTCACATTTAACCAGGGTTTTCAAATAATTAACTAAATTAAGACTTCCTCCAATAACACGGTATATAACTCGCTACTGATTCGGTTGTTCTTAATAACTAGGAAGGTGGCCCACGCGTATGTGTGGGCATCCATATTATTTAAATAAAAGATTATATTTTGTTCATAAGATATGTTTTATAAATTAAGGGCAACTCAAGGTCACACGTATCTAAAAAAATCATTCATCGAAATTTGAATAGAGGATGGATTAAGGTCACATGACTTTTGAATAGACTGAATAATAAAATGCTGCTAGGTAATTATCATTTCTATCATTTATACACATAGTGTGACAGTGTGAAATATGTCTATAAGCTAAACTTGTGAGAGTAAGGAAATCAAAGTTCTTTGGATTGAATCGTCTCATTAAGGCACATGATATAGTGACAACCAAATTAAGGATAGATCAAATGTTTGTTTTTTTCCTATGTGGAAGTTCAACAAATTCATTTTTTTTCACAGTTTTAAAGAATTTTAATGGTATGTTAGGACACATATCACTCACAGTCTCACACAATTCATTGGCTTGGTAATACAAAATATTAGCAATTGTTTCAAGATAATTTCTTTCTTTTTTTTTCATGTTTGATTGTTTTCTTTGAAACAACATTTGTTTGAAATAAGATCAAAATTGTATAAATTTGATTAGTATGTGTAGTGTACTTATGCATTTGAAGTGTTCTATAGTAAAGTTTACTTTTCTCATATAATATCCAATTGTATCAAAGAATATTGTTTTATCATGTAAATTATAATCAATAAGTTCAATATGATTCATATCATCATAATTAATAAAACTTAGTTAAAAAATATGACTACCTAAAAATTATTGTTCGCTTATTTGTTTTTTTTTCCTTACTTACTGGTGCCTTTGTCATTATTCTGAATCAAAGAAAAAGTGACAAATCATACCATGGCTCATATATAGCTGTAAGCTATTACTCTATGTCCACTCATTGCTCAGTAGTGTCCTTCACTCACCAATCATCTTGTGATAGTCATATAGACAATATTTATCAATTTGTTTAGTTTACATAAACGGCAACACCACATTGCTCCTTTCTCATGCATGGTCATAGAGTCCAAAATGATTTTTCCAAATAATGCTCTGCATTAACACATGTATCTGGAACATTAACTACATAACATATATGTGTGGAACACACAGTAGTTTTCGTTCTAGATTCACCCTTATTTACATACATGTAAAGAGTGTAACGACAATCAATGCTGACACCTATTAACAATTGTTATCTACCCAATTAGAATATGTCTTAATTATATTCATCTCATGACTCTGACTATCTTTGATCACCTTGAGTAGTAGAAAAAATTAATTGTACTACGGGTTTAGGATGGGCGAAACTAATGGATTATTTGATTTTTATGATATCTATTTGAGGGTATAAATGAATGAATTAACTTCTACAAATTTGAAATGTTGTTCTGGAAAAAGCGCTTTAAGAAAAAAAAATAGAATTGTTTTCCTGAAACACATCATTTAGGAACATGGGAAACATGCAAATGAAAATACAAAATCTAGATCGAAAGGAAAAACAGGGAGTAAGACTCAACCCTTAGTTTTAGCTTACATAGAGTTGCATGTTGCAAAAACTTAACCCACTGGACTTCATTATTTTCCTTCTGCAATAGTCGTTCAATTTGTTTTCACTTTATTAACAAAACAATCATTATCCATTGATGATTTGATGTGTCCTCACCTTGGCAAACTGGTACGGTGTGGTGATCATGATCACCTTAGTTGCCTCAATCTGGTGCTCCGCATTGTCGTGGCGCACGCATGCATGTGTTGTGCAGAGGAACGGAGTGATGTTTTTAGAGGCTTTATTGTGTTTAGAAAAATAGTTCTGATGGTTTATTATCTATCAGTTTAAATGAAAATCGATAGCCAAATATTTTAGCAACAATATAGTCTCAAATATTGGGTCCAGTTGTTGGTTTAGGTATAAATTAGTCGATATAGATTATAAATTGTTAATTTAATAGGTATAAAATATAATGGTGTAAAATTCAAACAATTTTTTATTTGAAAAAAATTAGTCCACCAGTTTAAGTAAAAAAATTTATCTTATATTATTAATTTAATGGGTTAAAAGTATATTTTTTAAAACTTTACATTTAAACATTGTAGAGCTAATTTTTAGTTATATTTATTTGTAAAGAGTTAATTTATGATGATATATATAGTCTATGTTTGTAAAATTATAATTATTTCAAATTTATTATCACTAATATAACTGTTTTCTCACATGTACATGGAGAAAGGTGGAAAGGAGAGAGAAGCAGATGTATTTTTTTAATTGATGTATATAATTTTTGTTTTTATGTTTTTTGTCTTTAATCTTCTTTTATTGATAGTGCGTTACTTACGTACTTTGTATTTTGGGTTTTTTTTTTACGATCAGTACTTTCGTGAACAGGAGATTATAAGATGGTAGTTTTTTAAATAGATCTAATCTAACGGTAAATAACGGATCACCGATTTAAGTGAAAAATCGAGGATTAGGTGTTTTGCCTTTCTCTTAGAATTTGTAGGAATTTCTTTAATTTATTAAGTGCCACATGACGGTTTAAAAGCATTTGTATAAAATTTAATAAACTTTTAGTATGTAATAGACAATAGATAGATAAATAGATAATTGAAATATAGAATGTTAAAGAGTGTTGATTGGATATCTTATATACGATCTAGTTTAACCGCATATATTTATAGAGCGATATATTTTATTTTTAAATAGTAGGAAATCCTACTTTAAAGCCCATCAGATTTTTTAATGACACTACGTACGTATTTTTTTTCTTTATTTTATCGCTTTTATACTTAGTTTTTTCTTCTCATCCGGTGAAGAGTAGATAATTAAGCTTCATCGTTTTTATTTCCGATGTACGTACGTACTGAATACTTTCCTTTTTCTTTTCCGTCCCACATGCGGAAACTATTACTTTTTAAAATAATACATCTAATCGAATGGTCTATAATATTGGGTCCACCAATTTTAATGAAAATTAACGGTGAGATTAAATAGTGCCACGTGGCGATATAGGAGTGTTTGTAGGAGCGCCACATGGCGGCTTAAGAGTGTTTGTAGGAAATCTAATAGACTTTTAGTATATAATAGATAGATAGATAGATAGATTGATAGATCTCTGTACCGAATCTCCTAAACCTATTGACAACTCCTGGACCACAAATACGCCGCCATCACTATATATTGGATCGGCCTCATCAGCAAAGCAATCCTCTGCCTCTTTTGTACCTACCATGGCCGAACCATCACGTTGCTCCAACTTTGTGCACAGTTTTATTCATGAGACAACCTATGAGACCACCCTCTCGCTATACGCCATTGCTACCGGAGACATGCATATATACTAGTGGTCAGCCCTGTCACGTGTGGATCCAAACAATGATGTTTACACAGTACTACCAAAACACACGCATGCACCATGTCAATACATTACTACTACCATGCAGTTCGGCACAAACACAAACGATAGACGGCGCCGAATTGATCCCCTACAGACTAGAAGTACTCCAAATCACCATTTGACAGCATCGGCTTCTGTATTATCATAACCTTTCACCTATTAACCTAATAACCAGATGTCTGTTGTTCCAAATAATTAACATGCCTTAAAGTTTCTAGCAATTTAACTAAACCTAAACATTGGTCCAAATGACTGTTTAACAATCCATCAAAACACTAAAACTTCCCATTAATTTATTGGACTATTAAAAATAAATCACCAAAGGCTACATCCCTCACACCCATATAGACCAAACTCTACAAACCGAATATAAAGGCTTATACTTGGCCTAAAAGTGCAAGGATACTTTAAACAGACTGAAAGGGACCGATGTGTCATAAGCAATATTAAGCACCTAGCCCAGGAGGAAGATCGACCATGAGGGGCAGCAGGATGAGCCTGGTCGGGGCAGCGATGCTGGCGCAGCTCTACGTGGTCGCCTCCTTTCAAGGCGCCTCTGGGGCTACCAGCGATGGCCCTCCCTCCAGCAGTGGGGCGAGGACTCCCACCTCCGGTGGGAGCCCTGGTGGTAGTGGTACAAGGAGCTCAGCAGCATCTACAAGCTCTGCAAGAGCCGGAAGCACCCCTGCAGGAGTGCGGGGGAGCCCCGCGGGAGCTGGTGGTAGCCCCGGCGGTGGAAGCGGAAGCACCCCTGTAGGAGGAGGGAGGAGCTTTGCGGGAGGTGGGAGTGCCGACGACGGCGACGATGGAACTGGGATCTCAAGCAGTGGGGGAAGGATGTTAAGTAGATCGTATGATGTTGAGCACTTTTTCATTTACTTCATGCTTGTTGTTTTAGCTGCATTTTAGCAAAAAAAAAATTCTTATTCTCAACATGCATATGTATCCAGTGCGCGGAAACAGTGAGGGGCCATCAACGGTCACTCGCATTCCCAAGTTCCTGTAAAAATAAACCATCACTACTTAAAAAACCCTCATAGCGACTGGCTCAGAGGTGTCAGTTTATTTACAACTGGCACCTATTAACCTTTTCCTATCTATTGTGGGATAAAAAATAGAGAACCGAATCCTTTGAACAACGATAGGTGTCGGTTCTAAAGAAAAACCGACATATAGACTATTGGTGCCCTTTTACTACACATTGTCTACATCAAGATGAACTCTGGTGTCCCCCGTGCTCTCCTTCGCACACTTGCCCATTCTTGTTGGCAGTGTCAAATATCGAACCCAGATAGTTTACACCACAGAAGTGAGAATTTATCCTCGGCTATACCTCTACATGGGTTAGCTGCTGCTCCTTCCGATGGACAATAGGACAATAACATTGGAGATCACAAGTTGTAGATAGTACTTTCTGCTTGAACTGCTCATCCAGCCTCCATTAGTGGATTTGTGTTGGATTTGATACAGAGTACCTAGCTAGGTGTTTCGTTTACTTCCTATACGCCTCCCATTCTTATCACAATCACATCTGATATACGAGTTGGAGCTGATCATAGTTGTAGCGAGATCGATGATCGAGAATGATTTAGAACTTTGAGGTGCCGAATGTTGGGTCCTAATGAAGTGCCATTCATAGAGTATATAATAAATGTAGTATTGTTACACTCACACGTACAAGCTAGTGTGTCTAAGAGCTTTGCTGCACAGGTTCGGTTTCCCCTTCCCTCCTCATCTTCCCTTCTCATCTTCTTTCTCTCCCTCACTCTCTCTCTCCCCTTCATCTTCCTTCTCTCCCTCCTCACTCTCTCCCTCACAGATCGGGCCGTGGCCCCCTCCCGAGCGCCGGCCGCTGATGCCTCCCCGCCTCCCGACCGTTGGCAGCCGCCGCCTCCCCGCCCACCACCGGATCTGGCCTACGACGCACAGATTCGGCCACCGCGGCCTCTCCCCCGACCGTCAGCCGCTTCCTTCTCCAGCACCACATCACCAACCGCCGGATCCGGCCACCGCAGCCTCTCCCCCGACCGTCGGCCACTTCCTCCTCCGCCACCCCACCGCCAACCACGGATCCGGCCACCGTGACTTCTCCCTCGACCGTCGGCCGCTTCTTCCTGCGCTACAGCACCGCCAACCGCCGGATCCGGCCACCACGACCTCTCCTCCCACCGTCGGCCGCTTCCTCCTCTGCCACTGCACTGCCAACCGCCAGATCCTGCCTTGACAAGTTTCCTACACCACCGCACCGCCGCCAGATGGAGTTATCCTTTCTGATTTGTGCCCAGATGAATATGATTGTGATGATTTTTCTGATTCTGTTTTGTGCCCAAATGATTGTGAATGTGGAGTGATTTTGTTCTTTGGCTAGATCAATGTGATTGCGATGATTTTTGTGATTCTGTCTTGTATCGAAATGACTGTGAATGTGATTATTTTTGTGATTTGTGATGCCTAATGGTCTGCGACTAGCTAGGCTTATAATATTATATTTTTTTGCCCCATTTTCCTACCAGAGGAGGCGCCGCTCCAGCTTCGCCCTCGGAGGCCGAAGGCTCTGCTCCCTCTTCGTCTATCATCTCCCCCTCGCTGCTGCGTTCCTTTCGCTTGGCAACTCTCTCCTTGACAATTTTCTTTGATGGCATCAATGGTTTCGCTCACTCTCAGTGGTTTCGCTCGGAGGTCCCCACGATCAGTGCTAGTTGTTGTCGAATGCACAACTGCGTTACGTCGAAAGGCGTGGTTCTCTCGACAGTAGTTGGAAGTAAAGACAATTGTATTGCTTAGTAACAATTTTTTGGATCCCCCTATTTCATGGCCTTAGGGGGCTATTTATAGCCCTATTACTGGTCCCCCTTTAGGGTTTAGGTTTTACAGGGGAATTTACATGGCTACCCTTATGATAGGGACATTATCGGGGGCACACAGTATCCTTTACTTGTATGGGCCCTTATTGGGCTAAATGGCTCGGCTCATTTACTTGGCGAAGTCCTTCGAAAGCGCAACGGCCCGCTAGGCCTCCTTACGGCGGAGATCGGTACTTGGCGAAGCCCATGCCTTCGTGCCAAGGCTTTCACCTCACCATCTTCGCCCGTGCGGCCTTCTGACGAGGCCTTTTGCCTGCCCAAGTCTGTGTGTTCCGAGCCACTGCTTTCTCCATGTGGCTTTCGCCCATATGGTTCCCTTTTTGTCCTTCGCCGCTTGCTTCCGGTCTGAGCGTGTCACCTATGTTCTTGGTTTCGGTAGGTCCAACCGAAGACCCTTCGTAGTGTACCTCCAACAATAAGACTGCAATTTTATATTTAAAAAAAAGAAATATATATTTACTTATACCAAAATTACAGTGCACTTACATGTCATATCAACTAAAATTACAAATGTAATTTTTGTTATATAGGACTATAATTTTATATTTTTAAAGAAAATAACAAATACATATTTACTTACACATTATTTTTATTGCATTTACATATCATATCAACTAAATTTACAAATGTAATTTTTAGTTATATAGGATTGTAATATTATATTTCATGACAACGAGAGGGATGGTGTTGCTAGCCGAACAGCGTTGGCCGTAGTGCCGGCGGCCAGCTCGCTGGTCGGAGGCCACCTTCATCATGGTGCACGCGTGGGCTAGCTGACACAGGCCGTCAGCTGCTGCTCACATCGCAAGTGGTGCATAGCGGCCAAAAAAAAAAGTCAAATGCCACAGAAAAAATCACACGGGAGATGGATAGCAAAATCTGTTGACAAAAATGTGTCTACATTTGGTTTATTGCCAAACTTTAATAAATACATTAGAAATCCTGCCAAAATTAATAATGTCAAAATTTAATAAGGCTTATTTTGGCTACAATTTGAACCGTTCCCGTTCTGCTCGATCGGCAGCCACAGTCCGACTTTGCCGTCGACGAACCATCCAGCCGCACATTCACGCACAACCCTCCCGTTGCTGACCCTGCCGCGCACCATCCGGCGCTGCTTCCTTCCTGCTGTGCAACCCTTTCTGCCGGTACGGTACCACCGTCTGCCGTGATGCCATCTCGCTGCTGGGCTCGTCTCCCGCGCGGGCCGCCGGTTGTGACAGTTTCCAGCTTGAGCACGTCAGTCTCCGGCACCATCGTCGCACGACACGGCCGGGCAGACGTTCCACTAGCTCAAGCTAACATAGGTTGGTAAAATGGCATAGGTGTTTTGCTCATGTTGACGATGCGAATTTCTGAAGATCCATGAGTTGATTTCTAGTATGTCTTCTATCAAAAGCGCTCAGTCTGGATCTTTGTTGAACCCTTTTTCACTCGTGTAAAAAAAAGTACAGTTAACTTTGCATAGCTCAAGCTAGTCTTTTTTTTCCTGCTCTGTTAAAATCAATCAAAGAGCAATTGATGGCAATTGACGCTGTAGCAGATGCACCGGATCCTGATCACCTGGCGGGCGGAGTCAGTCGCAAATCTGGACATGGTAGCCGTCGCTTGCCCTGATCTGCCGCTAGCTGTGACCCCAGCCTGGGCCCTGTCCCGTCCGTGACTGCGCTGCCGCCTCCACCGCAGCGCGCCGTCTCCGATGACTGCCGAGCCCGCGGCTCCAACCTACTTAAAAAAACGATTTTTTTTAAGCAATGTTGGCCTTTTATTTTTTCAAGACGGTACTCCTGGGTAGAGTGGTGGGTTTTTTTTGCTGAGATGATTTTCGTAGGACCCGCCCACAAAAATCATCCATTTTCGTAGGAGACAGAGTAGCGGCGGTCCTTCCCTCCGTCTAAAAAACTGATTTGGGCCGCCTGATCACTACTTGATTCACAAACCACACCGGACACCGCCCTATAGCCTCAACACTCCACGACTCATGTCCAAATTACAACATTACCCCTCCACTCCATTACTTTAATAGACGATTATACCTTTCTATTTTTCTATTGCTGTAATTAAGGTGGTACTGTTAATATATCTGACCCCTTTAGATTTGAAAAAATCAACGATTAAGAAGAATTCTACTACTACCAGCAGAGAGTACCGTAGCGAGACTCTTTACATTATAAGTAGGAACTGTAATGTGTATAGGAATGGGATGATTCAGCAATTAGAATAGCAGTGCAGTCTGGGACAAACATGTCAGCAATTAAAATAGCATTGAAGAGTACATTGAACTTAGGTTTTTTCTCTTATTCCCTATGGTTTTGTTTAGCTTTATTTCGGCTTTATATCTACTAGGACTGAGGCAGATTGAATCTATGCATTGACGATCGTTTTATTATTGACTAGTGGTAGTTTTGTACATTTCTATCCTGCTGGTGTGACAATAAGAAAATATGGTTGCTCAAAATTAACTGCCAATAAAAAAATTGAAAATGGTAAACATAAAAATATAATAGAAAAAGTAGTGTGGCACATTATGCTTTCATCTTGATTTTCTATAATCACCAACTAATTTAATTGAATGGTTGAGGGTTTTGTTTGTCAAAGAATTGCAACACTTTTTACGTATGACATCGTTCAATTTTTTTTCCGATATGTATACTATGAATTTCTCAAGTATTATATAGAGATTATAGAGATTATATAGAGATTATAGACAAATAGAAGCTGGCCTAAAAACCCATGAATTGCGGGAGCTGAAGATGGTGGTTGCGGCGCGGGTGCCGAAGCCAATGATGCCACACCAGCTTCGACGACGGGGGCCAAAGGCACTACCCCCTCTTCGGCGGCCATCTCCCCTCCTGCTTCACTCTCCTTTCGCTTAGCAACCTTCTCCTTCGCGACCCTCTTCGGTGACATTCGCTCTCCGTGGTTTCGCTCAGAGGTCCCCACAGTCGGCGCCAGCTGTTGTCGAAGCGACAACTGCGCACGTCAAAGGACGTGGTTACTCAACAGTGTTGGAAACAGTGAATATACTAATTGATTAAAATTTTT